CAATTTCATGAGCTTCCTTGTCCTTGCCCTCCGATTCTTCCCCTCCCCTGGAGAAGGGGAGGGGAATTTGTGAGAGTAGCTTCATGGTATTTTGCTAGCCGGAGTTAAACCACGACACTTCCCCTCACCCACTTCATCACTGACTAAATTCAGCAGAGCTGTTTCAGCTTACATTTAGTTTTGAAAAATCCCTACATTGTAGACACTTTAGAATAAGACATGCACACCTAAAACTTGCGTCTAAAATAACATTCTACCTACAAACTCTGACAGGAACACTGCCATTTTCTAGTGTCCTTGCTGGCACAAACAAGATTGCTAAGAAGTCTCAAAAGTTTAATTCTTCTGGCTTGTAACAACTTTGGAACATCAAAACCTGTACTTTTTCACACTGCCATACTATCTGTCCCCTTTTTATAAGATTTGAGGGGTGACAGAGAAAGGAAGGACATTATAAAAACCCCACACACTACCCCACCACGTTTCAAGGTTTGCAAAACTGCAACCTCTGCAAACCTTCTCAACTCCTTTTCTTCAGAGCACTGCAAGGCAGAAGCAATTCTAACAGAGCCAAATGCAGTTTCGCTTTGTCTTGTTTTTCCAAAAACTAGATTCATTTTTTTCAGGCTCGTTACCAGAAAACATACGTTCTAAAGAAAAAAATTGGCATTAGGTAAATGAAGATGAGATTCTAACGCAATGCTCTGCCTAGAAGGGTCCAAGCAGAACAAAACCAAAACATTTCTTCAGCGTGTAAAAGGCAGGCTGCATTTCCTCTGCTTAGGGCACTGATGAAGCTGTGGCAAGACATACACACAAAATCTTGGCAGCTATATTTTAGAAGGGTATTTTAAAAAACCCCGAAGGAATATTCCAGAAGATCGAGAGGAATAACATACAGCACTGGGGGAGGGTAAACCTTGCAGTAAAAAAGAAAACCCCAAAGCTGTGCCATTTATCTTGTTCAAAAGGTCTCGCGGTGGTCTTTCCTGCAGCTGATGTTCACACAAGGCAGCAGTACGTACAGCAGTGCCCTTTAGCAGGCAAAGCTGCAAGTTACCAAAATTCAGCCAGGAAAAGATAGAAACTTTTAGGTAACAAACAGATAACCAGGCAATGCCATAAATCCTTGCATCCCAGATGCCCGTAAGAATCAACCCTGCCCTTCTTTACCAAATGATGCGTGTTCTCTTTGCTGCGAGCTGCAAGTGTCACTGGTACAGGCTTTTTTTGCCTTCTGCCTTAAACAGCCCTGAGTCATAATTCATGCTCAAGAACAACTAATTTTAAATAAACTAGTTTCTGATGTGTATGCACCATTAAACCAAACAAGTACTACTGGACCACAGCAACATTCCTTACTTAAAATACCACTTTCACATGATTTCTGCCAAAGTAGCAGATAAAACATGTGGGGTTTTTAACTGGAACAAAGCACTTACCGTAGCCTCTTCTTAAGTTGTAGACTATCGTGAATAATTCTTTTGACAAATTCCAGTTCTCCCCCCTCAGCCATGATTTCTGTGATCCCTCCTGTATTTACAGAACTGGGAGGGGGACGCCGCGGATTTCGAGAATTTACGCCCTAGATAAAAAAAAGAGAACATTTGAGATCGACATTTAACAAAATGTTAAGCCACTTTGTACACTACTCCCTGCCTCAATCTTTAGTGGGTAGCAAGTGTCACCACCTCTAGCCATCCTCCCCACACCAGAACCATGGATAATAGACAAAGATCTGTTCAAAATAAGGACAACAGAGCAAATTCCCCACAATCTCGAACCTAGGTGAGTTACTTGTCGCCCATCAGTATCCTGCTAACAGGAACTATGTGGTAAGACATGCTGGTTACGTGCATCTACACAATTACACTGTGAGTGCTCAACTTTAACACTTAACTCCCTAATATCAGGCAGCAAAAAGAAGATTTAACTTGACTATATACAGTGGGCATTGCAAGAACAGTTCTGAGCTGTATGCTATTGCCTAAATCACTAAGGAAATGAAAAATACAGGCAGGCACAATGCCAGAAACTAATTCCTCTGCACCACTGCTACACAACAGTCACTGGATTTCAGATTTACTACCTGTCTACTTTCCAAACAAATTCTCTAAGACAGTAAGAACTCGTGAAAAAATTCTGCAGGTCATCCTCCACTACAGGAAGGGTAACAGTGATGTTTTTCAAAACTCCTTTGGGGCAGGGGTGGGGAGGGAGAAGACTTAAAATGCTATTTCATAATGATTTGGGATTTCCCACTCAATCTTCCCTGAGGGAAGAGGTTGAATTGTTGCCACCCACTCACTGAACACTTGAAGTGCATGCAACATGTGGTTTGTCAGCTTACCTTCGCTTCCAATTGGTTGGCAAAAAAGGGGGGATTGCACATGCAGAAATCATAAACAATCTCAGATTCCTCTTTCAGTGCATCCATTAGTAGAGTCTTCTGTGGAACCTTAACCACTAATAGAAAATGGGAATTTGGTCAGTAAGGAACTTCATATTTTAATTGCCATTTAAGGTTCAGTCTTTCTTGAAACAACTAAAACCTGTACTTTCTAAACAACACCTTCTAAAAAAAAGAAGTAACAAACATCAGCATGCAGATAAAGACTTCAGGTAACGGATTAGCACACAAACAGGTTGTATGTTTATACACTAGCAGAATTACACGAGTCTGTTTAAAACCATAGGAATTGTTTGAGTTATTCGGAGTTCCTCAACGCAAATACAAATTCACTTTAAGCCCTTCCAAAAATTAAAACAAGTGTCAGTTAATCACCTCACAGGCTCCTCAGAGATAAAACAAGTTCCAGTCTAAACAGTTTATTTTAAGGTAGAGAATTCTCAAGAAAAGACACTCTTCGGTCTTTCCAGAAAGAGAAAGACTAAGATAAAGCTATTTTCACTGAAGTTACACAACACCAAGCTTAGCTTTAATCTGATCTTATAATAAACCAGAATTACTGTGTGAGCAACACTAAGCAGCCTGCACAGGAACTGCAATCTTATACAATTTAGAAGAATCACAATGGAAAAAAAAAAAAAAAAATCAGAGTCCCTTTCTGGACAAACCTTTTCCTTACTAGGATCCACCAACTTACTATTACCCACCACAAGGATGAAGGCAAACATCCCACATAGATCTCCATTATCCTTCCCCTAAGATTATATCATTCCCTTGGAAATCGTGGTCAAGTCCTGCCACACATCTTCTGACGACCACAAGAATTCCAGCCCACAGAGCGGAAGTGTAAATAGGGGTGAAGTCCAGCTAAAGCATGCATAAATTATTACAAGCAGGACTTCTTGCAGACTTCACTAGCCCTGCAACTCGCGTATAACGCACATAGAACAAAGATATTTAGAACGGAGGCAGAAGGCATTAGATTTACTAATAAAGTTTATTATTAAGAAACACTAGATGTTTAGCTTATGTAGGTTTTAAATAGATTGAATCAAGCATTTAGCATCAGAACACAGGGGCTACAGCATACTGTTGAGCGATGTGGTATACCGTTTGCTCATTACCAACTTAGCACGTGGCTAGATTTGCTGAAGCCTGAGGCCACAAGCCGTGAACATTCACCTAGATATGCTTTCAGCTAGGACAGAGTTAGTTTTCTTCTTAGTAGCTGGTACAGTGCTGTGTTTTGGATTTACCGTGAGAATAATGTTGATAACACGCTGATGTTTTGGTTGTTGCTAAGCAGGGGTTATCCTAAGCTTAGTCTGGGAAAAAGCAGGTGCACAAGAAGCACAAACCGGAAGGTAAGGAGGCTACAACCATCAGCAGATGCTGCAGCCCAGCAAGATAAACCCAGTTAATGACCTGCCTGGAGACAGAGAAAGAATCCAGTAAGGTGCTAGAAAACCCCAGACCAGAAATCCCCATTGGGCCAAGAAGGTGCGTGAAGCATGAGGGGCAGGGTGCACAGGTTGTACGAGTGTAATTGCTCAGGTATTCCATTGTTCGGGGTCCCTCTCCAGAGGCACCCAGCTCGAGCTGGGGCTTTTGTCCACTGTACCACCAGAATAGATTTATTTTTTATATATAAGACTTGATACCCGAGATTGTGCTATGGGAAACCTAGTGCAAAACCTGAGGAAAGGAAAAGCATTCGAGAGAGAATATGTGCGTGAAAGGAGTTGCAATGGGGACCCGTCGACTCACTGGAGTCACCCACAGTGAAGGGACTCCAGTCCTAGCAGGAAAGACTCAGGTGGTGAGTGTGTGACCCCTAGGCCGGCATATGCAAGCTCAAGTGTTCCCTCCCAGCAGTCTGGCAACACAGACAGGACCCCAGGCCATCACCTTTGGATCCTTTGTCTCCAAAGATCCAACCGCTGGTAGCAGGTGAGTTCGCCTGCTCACTCTGGAACAGGAGGCACCCAAGGGGGAGTGTTAAAATCCCCTGCGCAGACTGAGTGGAAATAGAGCAAGAAGATTCTCACTGCAGCTTTTGGTGGTGTGTGGCCTGATCAGCCTAAGGCCCACAGGGCTGGTGCATGGCCTGATCAGCATGGAACGCAGAGGGATAAATAGGAAAGTGATCGGAAATATTCCCAGTACAGAGGAGGGGATAGCCTTGGCCGAGGTACTTCAAAATGGGAAAAGAATTTTGGCACAGCAGGTCTATCAGAAGAGCACACAGCTACTTTTTGTCAAGAAGACTGGCCATGTATAACCAGAGATGGAAACTCGGCAGAATGGTGGCCAGCGCAAGGAACCTCTGACCAGCACACACTTACCCTTCTGTGGCAGCACCTAGAGGATAGGTTCCCAGGACAAATGGATTAGATATGTCTGGGCTGATTGGGCGTGGGAAAGAAAACACCCATTCACAAGCGTGGGATGAAAGAGGCATTGCCAAAGTAATGCTGGCAGTAGCAGAGGCTGCAGCCCTGGACAAAGCCTCAGACAATGCCCCAACCATGTTTGTCCCACCTAATGCTCCTTGTCTCCCAGTTCTGCTCTGTTGGCTGCCACACTTTATCCTATGATTTCTCACGTTGCTTAATCCTGCTGCCATGCAACCGGGGGTGGCAGGCAGAGCGCCACCTGTATTGCACGTATTTACTAAACAACCTTGGAATCCTATGTGTGACTTGGCTCTGTGGGGAAAAATAATGCTGAGGGAGGATGCTGAGAAACACACTCACCTGGTTTCTAACCCGTGCACTGGGCAAGAACCCAGCTGGGGACATCCCACATGTTGTGGAGGGACTTACTCCAACCTGATGGGAGAAGGACCCTGCAGATCTTGGCAGGGGTGGGGGGCGGTGTAGAAAGATTAGAAATTTTTAGTATGTGGGTAACCCAATTGGACCAGTGGGGACATGTCATAGGTAAATATGAAGGTCATGAAGTTGAATTCTTGGTAGATGTGGGAGCCACATTATCCTTTTTCAATTTTACCCTAATAGGGTCAGTGATCCCATGCAGAATTTTAATACATGGAGTCACAGGACAAAGAGAGCAGAATTTGAGTAAAACCCTATTAGTAACCACAAGAAACAAGTATATGGGGACAACCTGTATTAGCAGAGGACTCTAGAGGTAGAATCACAGTTGTCACCTGAAGGAACAGATTTAATAGTCAAGGGAACGGCTGCAGTCACTGGGAGCCCAAATGACGAGCTAAAAATAGCAGTATTGAAATGCATACCAACAAAGCTGTAGGCTAAAACTAGCATGGATGCAGGATTACTAGTTTCAGATCAACCTGTAAACACAAAAACAAACAGAGAAAAGGACGGAGAGTTGGGCGGAGAGGGACCTAATGAAGTTCAGCAAGGGCAAGTGTAGGGTCCTGTACGTGGGAGCAAGTGTAGAGTCCTGCACCTGGGAAGAAATAACCCCAGGCACCAGTACAGGCTGGGGTGACCTGCTGGAAAGCAGCTCTGCAGAGAGGGATCCAGGAGTCCTGGGGGACAACAAGTTAACCGTGAGCCAGCAATGCACCTGTGTGGCCAAGGCCAGTGGTATCCTGGGGTGCATTAAGAGTGTGGCCAGCAGGTCGAGGCAGGTCATCCTCCCTCTCTACTCTGCCCTGGTGAGGCCCCATCTGGAGTGCTGTGTCCAGTTCTGGGCTCCCCAGGTCAAGAAAGACCAGGAACTCCTGGAGAGAGTCCAGCAGAGGGCTATGGGGATGATTAGAGGACTGGAACATCTCTTTTATGAGGAAAGGTTGAGAGAGCTGGGTCTGTTTAGCCTGGAGAAGACTGAGGGGGGATCTCATCAATGTTCTAGATATCTAAAGGGTGGGTGTCAAGAGGATGGGGCCAGACTCTTCAGTGGTGCCCAGCAACAAGACAAGGGGCAACAAGCACAAACTGGAGCACAGGACACTCCGTTTCAACATGAGGAAAAGCTTCTTCACTCTGAGGGTGCCAGAGTATGGGAACAGGCTGCCCCAAGAGGCTGTGGAGTCTCCTTCTCTGGAGATAATCAAAACCTGCCTGGATGCGTTACAGTCCAACCTGCTCTGGGTGAACTTGCTTTGGCAGGGGGGGTGGAGTAGATGACCTCTGAAGGTCCCTTCCAATCCCTACCATTCTGTGATTCTGTGAACCACCTCCCCTGGCTGCGCACCAGTATCCAATTCCCCAAGTAGCTGATAAGAGCATTCACAAGCAAATAGATCGGCATTTAGCCAAAGGAATTTTGAAAGTGTGCGTCACCATGTAATACTCCTATACTCCCTGTAAAAAAAAAAAATAGATTAGATGAAGATGGGGACATGGAATACCATTTTGTAAAAGATCTACAGGCAGTTAATCGGCACATAGTGGCTCCCCATCCAGTAGTGCCTGATATACTACACTTTCACAAACAGCATATTGGGCAAGCTGTTTCATTGTGACTGATCTAACTGCAGCCTACTTTAGTATCCCTTTAGAGAAGGGCAGACAACCTTTGCTTCTTTTTACATGGAAAGATCAACAATTAACCTGGATGCATCTCCCACAAGGATCTGCAGGGTCTCCTAAAATTTTTTCATGAATACTGATAAATTATTTGAAAGACATTAAACTACCAGGTGAATCGGCTCTTTTATAATATGTAGATGATTTGCTAGTGGCAAGTGAAGATGAGGATGCCTGTGTAAGAGACACTATACATTTGTGTACTGCCTTAATGAAGAAAGGTCATTGCACATCTCCATCCAAACTTCAGCTGCGTCAGAAGAAGTTAAATGTTTAGGGTTTATCCTCAGGGAAGGGCAGCGAGGAGACATTTACTAATAGATAAATGCTTTAAAACATCCAGCCCACAGTTATCAGATTATTTCACTGCCTTTCTTGTTAGCAATACCCTTTTCAATTTTATGGAGGAGGGAGGAAGAAAAAAAAAAAAAGGAAAAACCCACACAGAGACTTTGGTACGGTAGAGAAAGCAGACAATGCGACTAAGATGAGCAGAACTCTGCAAACAGATCATGTTAATCTGAGCAGGAACACACAGTCTACTGTATATGCAGTGTATTTTTTTTTAGCCTTTACAGTCCATCCCCAGGTTTATGGATTTTGCATATAAAGGAGAGGATCCTTTTGGAAGAAGTTACTGCAAACAGCCTTTCACTTTCAGCCACAAAAATGCTACTTTTTTATTTCTCTGGAAAGAACGAAGCTATGATGCCATCAGTAAACTATCGCCACACTACTGCTGGTTTTAGTATCGCTAAATTTTTTTTTCATTGAAGTTAGAAGAATAAAGACTATATTCCAATGGTCTCCAAATGAAGTTATTTGGCAAAAAATTCAAGACAGACTCTTACAACATGACAAAAAAATCATGTTGGGTTTGGTTTTTTCTTTTTTAAAAGCAGAGGTATAGAAACATTTCTATTATGACTCCAAAATGCCTTGTTAAACAAGTTGCTAGTTGCAGTAGTATACTCTGCTCTAGCTAAATAATTCAGGCCCAGGAGTTAAAAAGTATCAGGGGGGATTAATTCCCAGGCAGCATCTGGCTGCAGGTACCACCAGGGGTATTGCTCTGCCCGTGGCTCTGGACACAGGCAATCAGTCATTTTCTCCAGCTTACCATCTCTAGCACAACAGCTTCACATGAGGCATTTCCCTTTGCCACAGGTTTTTCCAGAAGAGTGAAATACCACCAGACCACTAAAAATCCTATGATGTAACAGAAAAACGTCATTGTTCCCCACATCAAGTCCTGGATCTTAAAGTTTGACATGGAGGAGGGATGAAGGTGACAACATTTTGGTGAAAAGGATGCTTCCAAGCTCCAGCAGAACTGAAGTTTTTATTTCAAAGCTGAATAATGGACCTGGCTTTTTTGCATACTGAGTTCCTACAGAAAATTTCCCAAGCTCATCCACAGAGCAAACCTGAGGTACTGCTACTACTACCACAGGCCCTGTTAGGACTTCATTCAGAATTAAAAGCAAAGGAGACTCCCTGCATAAGATACCTGTATGTGGCAGTGTCCCAAGAACTGAGGGGAGGGAGCACTCCAGATCTCCTAGCAGCAGAAACGAAGTATTTCAGTAACAGGCAAAGAATATGGAGAGAGAAAAACGCCACATGGTGAAGTTCAACCTTCAGATCTCCGTAAGGAAGAACAGCTCTCTATCCACACATCCCATTCTAGACAAGTTGACTTTCCAGTTTAGGCGTACACAGACCTTAGCAAACATTCTGCTTCAGTAAAAACAACTGAGCGTGTATTTGGCAGGAATACAGATTCTGTTATGCCACTGAAAGGGAAAAAATAGGTCACAACGTTCATGCGCTCCTAAATACTTCCTTACATCATACCTTTTATGAGGTCAGACAAGTTATTCTGTTCCACATTTTTCTTGGCGTAATTGAAGCACATATCATCCACTTCTGTTGCAAGAAAATACCAGCCATTCAGAGTTGCTCCAAGTAACGGGTATATGCAAGATGCTCCTGTCCCTGCAGGAGTGAAAAGCCATGAGAAAGGCAGAATGAGTCTCTGGCGTTATGTAGCATGGCTGTTAACCACGGACTTTTTACAACAAAAAGAACTAATTTCAAGAAAACATCGGTATCATCTACTGCTCTAAAGTTCTTTACTGAACTTTATCTTCCTAATTTGAAATACAGCATTGTCAAAGATGCATTTTTGACAAAAAAAAGAATTTCATAATCTGTAATTTTCTAGTAAACAATCAACTTATTTTTAAGCTATCATTTTCTACAACAGTGATTAATTTATATAGTGGTTTAGAAAAAAATTATCACAAATACACTTTTCTGCTGCATTTTTCTGTTATCTAGCACAAATAATTTACTTTGATACACACAGTGTCAGCATGGAAAGACACCGGCTCTTTAAGGAAGGACAGGTGATGAGGGGGTGTTGCTCTCAGAGAGCAGCTGGAGGGCATGGAGCTCTGCCTGGGGATGGATGAGGAGCTGACCCAGAGCTTATGGGTCAGGATTAAAGGGAGGGGATGGAGAGGGGATACGGTAGTAGGAGTTTGCCAGGACAAGCAAGTGGACGAGGA